CAACTTCTTTAGTCTCATTGTGCCCAAGAGAGGTTATCCAAAGAATGTTCTCCATTAATAATTTTTTAAATTCAATTTATGTCAACAATCAAAATATTTTTGAGGGTTTTTTTCCTTGATTACTAACATGATACACAATTTTAGAATACAAAATTTGGCATACTCTGGAAAAGATGAAGAAGAAACATTATCCTGCTGTCTAGAAAACACCACTATTAGCTTTTTGTTAATCGACAGTTTTTTGAGCCCCACTATATTCTATTCCAGTCAAAACTATATCCCTGGGATAATCTAGATGAGAAGACAAGACTAGCACATGCAAAAAAGGAGGAATTATTTGATACAGAATTAATTCATTTACTCATTCATTCAGTGCCTTGGGGCGATGTACAGGAACATGTGGAACTAATCTAGAAGTTTAGTCCATTTGGGGGTATCATCAAATAAAGGTCATCAAATGTAGAGCATATCACTGATGCCGGAAGAACAACTTATTCCAGCAGTAGATACTGTCTTTTTGGAGGGTGAGCAGTATCCCTTCATTCTTTAGGAGGGGTTAAACATTAAGATTGGCCATAAGAAAAATTTTTACTGTCTCAGTGTAATAACCATGACTAAGCCATGAAACAGCACTTCACTAAGTGATTCTATTCATTTTTCATGTTTGTGACCAAGACCAAAAAAAAAAAAATTTAATGGAGTCTGGCAAAAAATAAGAATGAACTCAAATGTTGTAATTTAATTGGTAAATGTGGTCAGCCTCAGGATTGACACCAAGAAGCCGTTGAAGATCTGGTTAATATTCTGCGGTTACAGATTAAGGGACAAGGACTTCCCTCTTCCTTAGTGACCAATAACGTTAAATATAATTACAGGTATGTGGCTGGAATTTCAGTGTGTGTGTTTGGGGGAGTAGGAGTGAGGTTGGGCTGTGAAGCTTAGGAAATACTGTCACTGGGTTTGGGAACTTGGATAGTTTGCTTCTGTGCAGAGGAAGCTCAGAGCCCTGAGGTGGTAAATTGATGGATGGGTTATGGGACTGGCGAGAATTGACGGTTAAGTTAATTTTGGGGACACCTATAGGGCTAGGTAGTGCCATAGAGAAGGGTATAAAATAATGGCAAAATAAGGGGAGATGAGCGGGACCCCAGCATTCTAGTGACAGGTGTGTGCCACTTTGAATTACCAAAGGCAGGACGTGACAGTAGTAATCTCTGGATGGAAGGTGACAAGGGATTTGTCCTTTCTTTTGAGTCCCCCCATTGCTACTCCCCAACTGCCTGCTTTTCCATAGTAAGCATGTATGAATTTTTAATTTTTTTTTTTTAAAGATTTTATTTATTTATTTGAGAGACAGAGAGCGCGAGAGGGAAGAGGGTCAGAGGGAGAAGCAGACCCCCTGCTGAGCAGGGAGCCCGATGCGGGACTCGATCCCGGGACTCCAGGATCATGACCTGAGCCGAAGGCAGTCGCTTAACCAACTGAGCCACCCAGGCGCCCAGCATGTATGAATTTTTAATTAGAAAATATAATTTACTAAAGATATACAAAAATAACTTAGAATAGTATTGATAGATAGCATGTCTTGGGAAAAAGATAAGTCAAATAAGGACCTCCTTTCTTGATCATTTTCAAAGGGCCCAGTTCCCCCTAACCCACATGTATACTCCTGTTCCCTTATGTTTGAAATTTTCCCTGAAAGACGTTTCCAATATTTTGACCCCTGTGAAAACATTTCCAAGAGAAGTAACACATCCCACTATTCCCAGTTATTATTAATAGTAGTCTACACATGGCTCTTTTATTGCAACTTTTGGTTCTTTCAAGCCCTCTAATTTTTAGAATTGGAATGTCATTCTACTAGACTCAGGTAGCATCTGAGAAGTTCTTTTATGCCTTTTTAAAATAGAAATCTAATTTATTTTTTAGAGCAGTTTTAGATTCCCAGCAAAATTGCGCAGAAGGTACAGGGATTTCCTATATACCCACTGCCCCTTGTTTTTCTTGTCAAATTATAGACCCGAACTGTGATGGGGGAGCTCTGCCCCTCCCCCTTTTCCAGTCCAAGATGAAAACCGTGAAGTTACCAAATTTTTAGATACTTAGCAACACCTAGGGAGGCTTCTGGATTAGGACCATGGAACCCTTCAACAAGGAGGGACCCGGCTCTAGTAAACTGGGTGTGTGGCTTTAGTGATAAGAAGGGAAGAAGAGCTCGCGAAGGAGCCCAGCTGGGGATGCAGGGAGCCTGTGCCCTCTCTCAGAGCACCAGCCTGCAGGCACCCCTCCACTGATGCTCTATAAGGGGATTAAGAACACAACAGTCGCTGCTCCCTTGGGACCAAGACTGTTCCGGCTACGGACTCCCATCCGTGAAAGGGGTTGAGATGGAATGAGAACAGAACTGAAAGAATGGGAAACTCCAAAGTGCCTGGTATCCATGAATAAAGAAGCTGCTTTTTATTTTAAAAAAGATTTTATTTATTTGTCAGAGAGAGAGAGAGAGAGAAGAAGAAGAAGCAGGGGGAGCGGCAGGCAGAGGGAGAAGCAGACTTCCTGCTGCACAAGGAACCCGATGTGGGACTCGATCCCAGGACCCCAGGATCATGACCGGAGGCGAAGGCAGATTCTTCACTGACCGAGCCACCCAGGCACCCAATAAAGATACTTTTTTAAAAGGTTGATTTTTTTTAAAAAAAGCATTTTGTTATGAAAATTCTAAAAAATAAAGTGGGGAGACTAGTGTAATGAACCTTGATTTTCTCATTGCTCAGCTTCAGCCATCCACTGCTATCCCTCTCTCATCCCTCTCCTGAAACTGGATTTTTTGGAAGCAAACCACAAGCATTTTCTCATTCCAAATAGAAGTACTTCCGTATGTACCTCTAAAAAAAAAGAAAAAAGAAAAAGACTAAAAGGAAGACGTCTGATGATTTACAAATCTTAATCTTCACCTGTCACTTACTTTGAATTAGGAGCCCTAAGTCCTAGACCTGCTTTTGTCAATCACCAGCAACAAGTCATGTACCCTTCTGAACTTGCACTTTTCCCACCTGATTTTGCAAAGGAGGTGATTTCTAAGGTCTCTTCCCATGCTAGAAATCAAATATTCATTCAAGGGTCACTTTTAAGACTCTAGAGACATAGATTTGGTACAGGGTCTATTTGCTGTTGGTTTTTTTGGTGCAGTGCCCAGTTCAGAGTCAAGACCTCCTCACTGAAGAGCCAAGGAGGTCCTAGAGGCTGCTGAGTGGCAGGATCTTTAACTTGGAGCTTTCAAAAAGAAATGAGTCTGGGAGCCATCCCTCCAGGCAGTTTTGCGCTGCCCTCAGTATCTTTTGGCTGCAAAGTGAGGGGACAAGCTCGGACCCAGGACTTCCGGCTGCCACAAGCATGGGTCAAGCTCTGCTATAGCTTGAAGAGGACTAGGGACATGAAGCTGGAGGAGGGCTATTTGGGAAAAGAAACTGCTGGTGGTCAGGGTAGTGGGAGAAGACCATGTTTGAGAGTGCTGTGCCAAATTTTTTTTTTTTTTTTGAAGAATCACCATGATCCAGAGAAAGAAAAAAATGAAGGACCCAAATGAAAAAGGCCACCCAAATTACCATTAAAGCACGAGCTCTGAGCGGTTTGGGGGCTTTGCAGGGCTTTACTGAAGCTACCGATGGGGATTATTGTTTTGGTGCCAGGGTTTTAAATTGGGGGGTAGGGTTAAAAGGGACCGAAGATGAGGGCCATTATGTCAGGACAACCCACTATTGCATAGTGGGCACCCACCGCGTTTTTGACTTTTTGGGTTAGAACTGGAGAGGAGTCCCTGGACGCACTTCCAGCTGGTTCTGAGGACGGTCAAGATGGGCGTTCTCCATGACCCTTGTGGACTCGCACCACAGCTACCCAGCGATTAGATTCTGAGGCCTGTCCTTAGCAGGAAATGGTAAAGGAATCAGCAGGAAGCCGAAGACAAGAGAAGGGAAACTCCTCCCTCCTGTCAAAGGCCTGGCGAGCGTGAGGATGCAAATGGAAAGGGGGGCTGGAGGGAGAGGTGCATTGAGATGGAGAGGGGCTGAGCCTTGAATAGAAGGAAACAGTGCACGCCCCCAGGGCCAGAACACACGATAAACTCTGGTGTTTACTGTTTGGACCCCGTGTTCCTCGGTCCTCCCAAAGTCTCGGCACGATCCCCAGGACCTGGGAACTGGGGCTGTGGCGAGTGGGTTTTCTGAGCTCCAGCAGCCGGCTGAGAGGACCACATACCTTGTTTCTGATTCCCCGGCTTCTCCAAGGCCAGGGGACCCCCCAAATCAAGTCAAACAATTTTACCAGGAAAAAAGATGGAAAGTGTAAATGGAATGAAATGACAAGAGATACTTGGTGTGAAGGAGCAGAGGAAGGCAAGATCATTTTTCTGTCTTAACCAGTTCTTGGCAACTGGAAGTCCTCAATCCATTTTAGAGGTAGAGGGAGAGCCCGTGATCCAGGGCAAGCAAGCGAGGCCGATGAGAAAAACGGGTTATCTGGGATCGGAGAACACTTATTTACAGAGGAGAACTCCGCTTTGAACTTTCACTTCTGGAGCTTGGACTCAGTGAGCTATGCTACTCCTGATGAAAGAGAAAACTTGTATTTTAGGTTGAAGGTCCTCAGCGATGGAAAGGCAGCCCCTAGAGTGCCCACTCACCCCCAGTGCAGTCGCCGCTTTATGTTAACCGTCTTGTGTTTAGGTTGTTCAGTGAAGAAAGGAAAAACAGACTGTCCTGAATGCTGATGCTACTGTTTTAGTGGGAAAAAATTACGAACAGGCAAGTGGCAAACAACAAAACTTTTGAAAAAGCAGACCCGGGGAGAGTCCAGTGCAGTTTCATAATGGGTATGAATAGTGTTTTTGCTGTCTTCTTCTTTTTTTTTTTTATCTTTCTGGGTTTTGATGTGGATCTCTTTCTATTTGTTCAGGAAATTGTGACGTGGGTTCTGGGCAGGGTTTGAGGTTTTGGAACTTTTTCTAAAAGGGACAGAGTGCACCCTGCTACATTTCCTAATCGTGAGGTCGGTGTACAGGCAGCAGAACTGAAGGGAGCTGGTCACCATGCAGCTACTCCAACAGGGCAGTAGGCTTGTCCTGGCTCTTGCCCTCCTCCTGGTTTTGGATTCTTCAGTTCAAGGTAAGACCCAGGAATCTCATCTCCCCCCTCACCCCTCCGTAATCTTTGCAAGCCCTGGGGTCCACACAAATGATTATATTCACTTTAAGGTACAGAATGTATTATATCGTGGGACAGGAGGCAAAGAGAAAGGATTTGGGGGTGCTGGACTCTTTAATGTGAGTTTGATTAAGTTTGGTATCAAGAAAAATGAAACTCTGAGGCAGGTGTGGCCTCGTGAACACCATGATTGAAACGTGCTATTTTATTTTTGGATGAAAAGGTATAGTTTATAAACTTCTAAAAACTCAAGAAAGGTCAACTGATGAGTCCCTAAATTCTACCTCTGAAACTAATAATACACTGTAGGTTAAATTGAATTTTAAATTTAAAAAAATTTTAAAAAACCCAAAAAACTCCAGAAAGGAATATAGAACATAACCCATGTGTCTGTTGGAGGAGATGGCACCGTTGAGTTTTGGAGGTCCCAGGGTTTGTATCAGTCCCAAGTTTTAATATATTATGGTAGTATTGTAATTATTCTAACAGTGGAAAATGATATATTTTAAAAATCAGAGTAAATCTGTGTATTTTTCCTTTTTTAAAAAAAATTTCATTCTTAGTGAAAATTCAGTTATGGTTAGACATAGTACAAACCCTCTCAGTTTAAAGACAGACCAGAGAATTTTAGTATTTGTGCTGTTGCTCAGGGTCACATTACATTTGGAAATTTCTTCTTAGATTTCTCTATCATTTAGGGTTGGTTAGTCAGACAATCCTTATGACTAAGACAACAGAAATGATCAGTTTGTAAGAAAAATACAATTTTTCTCCTTTGGTAAATAAGGGATCATGTCTAAATAAGGCAGAAGGTTATGGCCTGATAAATAGATGGGAGAATTTATAGTAGAAAATTATTTAAGTTCCCCCAATTTGTACAGGAAACATTGACTTACAGTGACACACATGTCCTGGATTTGTTTCTTCGAAGTGACTTCTAGCCTTGTTTTTACTTCTGGTGGAAATGAAATCATACAGATAATCTCAGATACATTCATTATGTACTGGAAATTTATAAAATAATTTCCTTCTTGTTATGCAATTATTGAAGAAAATAACAGCAAATAATGTTGCTGAAACTTTTTACTAATCTATGTATTTTTAAATTTTTTAATAATCTATGTATTTTTTTTTAAAGGTTTTATTTATTTGACAGAGAGAGACACAGCGAGAGAGGGAACACAAGCAGGGGGAGTGGGAGAGGAAGAAGCAGGCTTCCTGCTGAGCAGGGAGCCCGATGCGGGACTCGATCCCAGGACTCTGGGATCATGACCTGAGCCGAAGGCAGACGCTTAACCGTCTGAGCCACCCAGGCGCCCCCTATGTATTTTTTAAAGTATAAAACTGTATTGATTTTAAGAAACTGTCCTGGATCTTTTAGGGAAAATCTTGAGCTTGATGAAATAATTCCCTAATGTGTTTTGACAAGATCCAGAGTAATGAGGTCTATATTTGTAGCACAAACTTGAGTGACAAGTTGGTGGGGGGTCCACCCCTGCCAGAGCTAAGTCAGTCTTTACATATTCAGGATTTCCCCGAAATATCACATTCCCCACTAAGATTCAGTAGGTAAAACTAGAAGTGAAACAGAAACGTTCCTGGGCGCCTGGGTGGCTCAGGTCTTGATCTCCAGGGACCTGGGATCGAGCCCCACATCGGGCTCCCTGCTCAGCGGGGAGTCTGCTTCTCCCTCTCCGTCTGCCCCTGCTCATGCTCTCTCTCTCTCTCTCAAATAAATAAATAAATAAATAAATAAATAAATAAATAAAACCTAAAAAAAAAAAAACATTCCTTACATAGTAGGTATTCATCAGAAAGAAGTGAAGAAACCATTATGAAATCACATAAAGCACTAGCATTTATATCATTACCTGGTAGGTTTAGCTCTTTGTTGGAAAAGGAACCAAAAAAGATAGAATGAACGAACGGAAAAACAAGGGTATTTCCAAAGGAGAAGTGCCCTTGGTGTTGGAATTAAGGGTTTGCGTCCACATCTGACTGAGAAGGGAAACGGATACCCACCCACGGCGTGTGTGACAGCCTCTCCAGGAGCCCTGCCAGAGCTGCGGCGCTGGTTCCCACACCTCCATGGGATGCCAATATGACTCGATAGCACTCTTTCCCCGTCTTTTAAAAAATGTTTACTTAAACCATTGGTTTGACCGAACTGTTCAAACCAGGCTTTTGGCTTGTCCTTACTGAACATATTCAAAACATCTTAGGTCACTGTGTTAGTTTACTGAGGCTGCACAGTACCCAGACAGGTGTGGCTTAACAGAAATATATTTTCTCACAGTTCTGGAGGCTGGAAGTCCAAGATCAAGATGTCAGTGGGGCTGGTTTCATTCCGAAGCCTCTCTCCTTGGCTTGGAGAAGCCCATCTTCCCTCTGTCTTCACACGGTCCTTCCTCTGTGTGTGTGTGTCTGTGTCTTGATCTCTTCTTCTAAGGACACCAGCCATATTGGATTCGGGCTCGTCCATATGAACTCATTTTACCTTAATTACCTCTTTGAAGGCCCTGTCTCCAAATACAATCCCATTCTGAGATATTGAGAGTTAGGACTTCAACATATGAATTGAGGGGACACAATTCAGCCCTTATCAGTTACGTTAAGTCAAACCCAAGGAAAAACATGATGTAAAATCATGTCTATCAGGGGCAAAGGATGGGAAATTTGGCAATGCGTGGGAGATCCTGGAGAGCACAGGTGGCTTTCGATTTAATGTAGACCTCCAGGGGATTATTGATTATTGATAAGGTCTGTGAATCCTAAACTCTTTTATTACCTCTCTTTTTTTAAAGACTTCCATAAAGAGAGAAAATGGAAGATCCATGAGCAGGTGTGGCCAGATCGTGTGTTCACTCCACACTCCCTAGATTAGGGTAGATATTGATTCCAGCCATGTGTGCTGCTGTTTGATTGTAAAGTGATTTCATTTCCATGCTCTCATAAATGATCATCACATTCCCTGTGAGGAGGAATTAACACCAATTTAAAGAGGAGAAAACTGATCTTGTATTCGCCATCTCATTTGCTCTTTAGATCAACCTCTTGCAAAATATTTGAGACTTGCTTTAGGCCCGTGACAACTAATTAATGCCACAAGTGGTCATCTGATTTCAAGGTCAGAGTTAACTTTCTATTGCAGCTCGGCTGTCTTCTAGGTGGATTAGAGATTTTTTTCTTTCTTCCTTCCTTCCTCCCTCTCTTTTTAAATATTTTTTTCTTAAGTAGGCTCCATGCCCACTGGGAGCCCCAAAGGGGCTTGAACTCATGACTAAGATCAAGACCTGAGCTGAGAACAAGGGTCGAGACTTAACCAACTGAGCCACTCAGGCGCCCCTTTAAGGATTTTATTTTTAAGTAATCACTACACCCAATGTGGGACTTGAACTTATGGCCTCAATATCAAGAGTCACATGCTCTACTGACTGCCATGCACCCCGAGATTTTCTTTATTTAAAACAAAAAACCTTGCTTTGACTGTAGTAAACTTGCTATAAAGTTTACCACTGAATTGAGGGATAGAGAGGGAGAAATTGAAAGTAAACTTGGAACATATATAGCTTGTCAAACCATGCAAGGGTTGTCTATCTTGTGGAATTGATTGTCCAGTAGGAAGCAACTCCAACTTAGTGATGTCTGTTTCAATGCTACCAAAACAATGAATAAAATGGTCTTTTTTTTTAATCTCCGCCCCCCTTCATGGAATTTTCTGGTTAAGTTTCTGTAACACACCTGTAGCAAATCTCCATTAAGAATAGCAGATTGGTAAATTGTGATGCTGTTGGGGAAAATTTGGTATTACAATGTAAAAAGATGCAGATAGGAGCACCTGACTGGCTCAGTTGGTAGAGCATGTGACTCTTGATCTCACGGCTGTGAGATCGAGCTCCGTGTTGGCCATGGAGCCTACTTTAATAAAATAAAAAGTGAAAATATTTTTTTTAAAAAGATGCAGACGGATGATAGGAGTAATGTTCATTCATAGAAAGAACATTTTGGTAAAGCAGGACTAGCGACTCTGTGTGGTGGGGGACAGTGAGGAAAAGGATTCTAAATAAAAACCATTATTTTCCCTGGAATCCAACACAAAGTTAGCCAGCTGATCCAGCAGGTGGGGCTTTTGAGGAAGATAACCTTTGTGTCCACTAGCATTCTCCCTTTTCTTTTTTTTTTTTCAATTACAGTAATCATAAGACCTTTCTCTCAAGCAAGATAGAGTCAAGGTAGTCCCACAACAGCAGGGGTGAGACTGTTGAATTCACATCCTGCCAACACCCTTCAACAGATATGTTAGGAACTTAGTGTCTGTAACCATGCTCTTTATTTTAAAGCCGACTGAAAATGATCAGACCCAAATTAGATAAACTTTTTTTGGGGGGGGGGACTTCTACAAGTTTTTAAACAGCTTTATTGAAATAGCTTTCGCAAACCATACATTTCATCCATTTAAAATGTACGGTTCAGAGGCACCTGGGTGGCTCAGTCAGTTAAGTGTCTGCCTTCGGCTCAGGTCATGATCCCAGGGTCCTGGAATTGAGCCCTGCATCAGGCTCCTTGGTCAGTGGGAGTCTGCTTCTTCCTCTGCCTCTTCCCCTGGCTTGTGCTCTCTTTCTCTCTCTTGCTCACTCACTCTCTCTTCCTCTCAAATAAATACATAAATTCTTTAAACAAATAAGTGTACAGTTCAATGTTTTTTTAAAGTATATTCACAGATATATGCAACTATCACCATAGTCAATTCCCCCCCCAAAGAAGCCCCTCTTTATTTTTTTTTTTTAAAGATTT